TTCCCTTCCTCAGTCTGTTTGGAGGTAAACAAGTTGGACTCTGCAGAGGAGGCTCTTCAGTGAAGAAGGTAATGGAGGAATAAATTTTGCAGCTAAATACCTCAATAATAATGTGACTTACAGTTACCTGAGGGATGCTGATTTTCTTTAACTTTAAAGATTAGGGAATAGGGCCAGGGTCCAAAAGGCAGGGATGTCTGCCCCAGGCCCTGTCTACCACTGTCTTAGGAACATGCAGGGTAAGGGAGAGAGCTACAAATTTAAGATTAGAGAGAGTAGGACAGCTCCTCCCAGGAGGGAAAAAAATACTTAGGGTAAATTCTAGATCCCCAGGCCAAAAACGGCAATAGGGGCATTATATTAGCCCTAACTCTTATTTACCTGGCTCTTTAAATGTCTTTGTATATGTCCAGAAGGAGCTGAAGGAAGAAGGATGTTTTCTGTTAGAGAAGAGAAACTGAAGGCTGCTTCTACAGGACCAGCACTAGGGGGCACCGGAGCAAAGTATACTGAGCATGACCTGTGTGACTGCCAAAGAGCTTCAACTCTGGAAATTAGGGGAACAGAGGAAATACCCATTGGTGAAACCCAATGCACTTCCAGTTCAAATAAAGATCTAATCCTGTTCTTGATATAGTCTTCTCACATACTTAATTTTATAAAAGTGTTCACTGTTGTGTTGAATTTAAACTTCAAATATAACTACCATTCATAAATTTCTGAATGACCATGTTCATGACAACAGAAAAGAAAAATAAATTTTAGAAAGTACTCTCTGAAAGGCAATTTGGCAATATAAATCAAGCCTTAAAAGTATGTACCATCTTTGACCCAGCAGTTCCATTTCTAAGAATATAATACAGGATGAAACAATGTAAAACACAGAACAAACTTTTGTACCAGAATGTCCATCATGGCATTAATTTTATTTCTTAACATGCTTAAACAACCTAAATATCCAAGAGATAAGAGTGGTAAAATAAATTATGGTAGAGCTATACAATGGACTATCATGCATACATTAAATATATTATCTATAAACACTTAATAACTGAAGGAAATGTTGATTGTAGAGGAGACACAAAATTTTGGAAACTGCAAACACATTATGATTTCAATAAGACTGAAATATGTTAGAAAAAGTATTGAAGGAAAATACACCAAAATATCAACAGTGGTTATCCATAGGTGGTAAGATTCAGAAATTTTATTTATATATTTTTTACAATGAACAAGTACTCCAATAATAGAGGCCAAATTTATGAAAACCTTTCTGCTTTATATTATACACCAAACACTAATAAACAATTTATTAATCAAAAACATAAGTTGACCTCATAACTGTATACTTAAACTGTAACCCACTGGGCATTACAAACTGAGGCATTTAAAATCACAGTCACTTCTCATTTAAATGTATCCTCTTCAGGGATACAGAATGATGAAAAGTGGCTATATAACATAACTTCAGTATCCAACTGATTAACACACATTGTTAGCTTGTGTTCAGCAAGTAGTCAACCAATGTGTCCTTAGAAAATTTGTTTAACAACAACAACGACAACAACAAAACTCTCTAGAGCTAGTTGTATTAAAATCTTAATAACGGAAGAATTTAAAAAGTGCTAACAGAAGAACTACTCGATTGAGATTCAAAAGAACAGTGCTCTAAGTTTCCGATCTTAGTCAAGTCCCAATGTTTCTAAGTATCAGGTTCCTTATCAGTACAATGGGGTTATCATAACATCCACTTTAGAATTATTAGGAAGACTTAATTAAAGCATTTAATTCAAGTGATTTACAAAATCACTTGATGTAAAACATCAACAAATATTAACAGCAATGTCCTATTCTAGGCCTTATCTACAACAGGTTCCATCAAATCACTTCCAAACTTCCTTATAGCTTTAATATCACATTTATAAACAATAGAATAATGTTGCTACAACAAATAAGATACAGGACACATTAGGCATTTTTCTAGTATTCATCCAAGTTTAACAACTCTGTGAGTTATATATGATAAGTCAAAACGTAAGATTCGGATGGAGAATCAAGATGTTTTTGTACTAGTAGTTTTTGAAAGTTGTTGTGATAAAATTATCACTGTTAGATATCATCAATAAAAACAATCCCTCAAACAGTATCAAAAGGTATAAAGCAAAAAGTAAATTTATCTCCTTATGCCTGCCCCCAAAGAATTTCTATTTCCTAGAGCCAATCACTGTTGAGATTCTTATATATCTACCAGACATCTGCCGTTAAGGAAGTTATTAACCTTAGCAGATTGAAGAATTGTAGAGCTAGAAAAAATTGGCCCAATATAACTTTCAATTTTATAAATAAGTAACCTGACACACGTAAGTGATTATTTTAGTTGTTATTAATACCTGGAACGCAATTCACAATAGATAAAATGCTATGACATAAATTACTGGTTTTAAAATTATCCAAGTGATTTGCCTCAAGGTTATTTACACAACAAGCTAATGATGTGGCTGGAACTACAGTTAGGAAGCTGATAACAAATGGGATAGTAATAATATATATTAAATGCATACAAAGCTTACGTTTTTAAAGTTTCAAAGATCTTAAAGCTTCAAAGATATTCTACATCATACAGCGGATTACAAAGTTTGGCAATTCATGAACTAGTTATTACTATGCATAAAAATCAATACAACTGTTTTATAAGGAGAAATCTTAGCAATGAGAGACTTTTAAAGTTTGCCTGTGTTTTGAAGATTCACGCTTTTCAAGATTATCACTTAGAGAATTACTTTTAAATTATAGATATAAACAACACACAATGATTAATTACTGAATACATTTTGGTTAAAAAAAAACCCAACAACTTCAAAATGAGAAGAAATAATGTGAGAGAGACACTTAAAGTAAGGAGAATTTCATATATGATATGAATGCACACAAGACTATAAACAGAAATCAACTGAATAATAAAGCACCTAAAAGATCCTGCAGCATTCTTTCTAGCATAAAGAAAATCAGTGTTGACCACAAAAGCTGCATTGCCACTGTGGCAATGACAACTACAAAATCTGTATTATGACTAATGACAAAAAAGGAAGATATCTTTTATTAGAAGAATGTGTGAGAAATTAAACAGAAAGGTAAGGAATCTCAAAATAATTCTACCGTAACAGGATTTAAAAAAACAGAAAACATTCAAAGAAGTGGGTTCAAGAATAAGTCTCACTCCAATTATGGAATATAGTTATAAAAGAACAAAACTGAAATTAAACTTAATAGAGGAATTAACCATTAATTATGCTAAATTTTTAACAAGTATATATTCCAATTTACTTAAATACAAGTATCAATATCCAGCCAAATTATAAAGAGCTCAGATAACCTAAATAATCTAAGTGGAAAAAAAATGAATGCCAAAATCAGATGGAAAAATCAAAGTAAAAATTAAGTAATTGTGTGTAATATACACACTCTTGCTATCAAATTATAACTTACATATATTCAAGCTCCTTTAATTTTGCCATATTAAAGAACATTTCAAAAACATGAAAATGTAATACACCTTTAAATGACTTTTGTTACTAACAAAAGGTTAACTCTGATTTTTGCTTTTTAAGACTAACACTGTCAATAAAGTAGAAAAATGAGGCGGCTAACCAATATATTACTGTTGTTCTAACTGAAAATAAATAAAACCCCAAGTATTTTCTAAAGGCAGAAAAATCCTCAAATTATTAACAGGAAAGAAAAGAATGCTCCATATCAAGTTGTTGGTTCTATGATGTATTATTAGCCTTCTTTACTGGTTGAATAGCACCTGTTTTATTAAGAGGAGGATATGTAAACATAATATTTTTATTTGGTTCTTTATCAAGTATTTGTTTTTACTCCTATGTTCAAGCCTTTCTCATTTCATGAGACAACTGAAATATATTTATATTTGTATCAGACAGTTCTAATATATAAATAGTATTTTTTTGGTCTGATTCTCTTCATGGTTCTGTTCATGGTTTCTCATTTTCTTTTTAGGTGAGTAGTCTTTACTATAAGCTCATTTTTCTTTAAATTTTCTTTGCCTCTTAGAGGCAAATTCCTTCAAAAAGGAATTACATTTGATTCTATTAGGTGCTTGAAGATATCACTACCACAAATATTTTAAATCAAAATCTTAATTTGCTTTAAAAATTTTTTTTTAATGGAGCACTGAAGTAGTATGAATTTAGGGTGGGAACCTATATGAAAATTCGCTCAAGGCTATCAACTTTCATGAAAGACGTATTTTCTCCCATTTAATCAATGACAAATTTTAAGACAGGCTATTTTCCTTACATCCCCCCATGAATGGAGCTGGTGTGGGCTTATTTCTAATTTACCCTTGTGTGGGAAGTAGCTCTTTAGGATCCCAAGTTTATCAGGGAGATGTGCTACCCATTAGATATTCCACCTTGGAAGGGCCTTGGGATTTGTCTAGATTAGACAATATCCTCAAGGTTAACTAGGCTTTAGGCTCTGATTTGATTCTCTTAGATCCTAGTTTCATTTTAATCTCTGATTTGTATTTCCTTTATTTCGAATGGCTATGCATAGATTAAAATTTTAAAAAATTTATCTAACAATTTCTTTTTAACAAGAATGTTGTTTAGTTTGGGCCCCAAGGGGCCATAATTCAATAACTAAGAGCTACACAGTATTACCTTCAATATTTTTCTTTTAAATAGCATGCCATTTATCAGAGCTCTTGTGGTTTCCACTACAATTATTCCTTATAAGACTTTTAACTTGGTGTATCTATACAACTCTGCATCTGTTGAAGAACTGGTTATCTTCCAAAGAGGTAAAATATACTTACTCATAGGATAAAGCAAAATTGATAACAATAATTATTATATATTTTATTAAAAATTATAATTTATTATAATAACTGGTAACAATAAATTATTAAATAATGATTTAAACAAGGTTATTTTGTTTTAGTAATAACCCTTCTGCCTTCAGAAACTCTTACTTACTTTGGAAGGAGAACCATCAGTAATTTTCACCAACTGCCAAAGAATCGAGTAATGGGAACACTGCAGTGCCTGTACGACTATCTGTATCAAATAAAAAAATTCAAACAAATGAGACATAATTTATGTTTGTACAGTATTAACAATGTTTATCATAGTTTTTTTCTTATAATAAGGTTTCAAGTCCAAATTTTTGTAGAATTAATGGAATGTGTAAAATAATATTTGGTTAAAAAAAAGACAAACCAACATATCAATCTAGAGAATAAAGATATAACATGTCTTGATAAATATGGACCCAAATAACACTATGTTTTAAACAAAAATCTACTGTTATGAATAGTTTGCACAGATTTTTAAAGGGAGACTGAAGAAATAAGTTTTATCCAAATTTTATAATGATTACTTTTGTTTTAAAGCATTACTATGAAATAGAACACTTATACAGAAATATACATAAAACATTTAATAACTTAATATAAAGAAAGTTATCTATGTAACCACCACCCAGATCAAGAAACAGAACATTGCCAGCAATTTCTCCCAATATTTTTCTTCCCTCTAAGGAAGGGTAATAGTCATTTTGACTTATCAGGCAGTCAGTACATTTTATCTACCTAAGTCTCCATCTCTAAATACTGAGTTTATTATGTCTAGTTGTGAATATTATATAAATGGAATCATGTAATATGTATTACTTTGATTCTGATTTCTTTCATTTTAACATTTATAGTTAGGATTCATACACATTGCTGCATATAGCTATAGTTCATTATTTCTTTATACTATATTTAGAATATCCTCCTATTTATTCATTCATTCCATTGTTGCTGAGCTTTTACAGTGCTTATAGTTTGAGGCCATCATGAATAATGCTGCTATGAACATTCTTATTCTATGTCTCCTGGTACCCATACATGCATTTGTCTAGCTAAGAGGTTCTTGAAGTTTTTAGTTCTCAGGACCTTTCTACACTCTTAAAAATTACTAAAAAATTCCTTTCAAAGAAACCTAAATTGCTTTTGTTTATGTGAATTATATAACACATTTATCATATTAGAAATTATAAGTAATGTTTCAAATACACATTAATTCATTTAAAAATTAATAGAGGTGCCTGGGTGTCCCAGTTTGTTATGTCTGACTCTTGTTACCGGCTCAGGTCATGATCTCACAGTCTGTGAGTTCAAGTCCATGTTGGGCTCTGCACTGATGGCATGCAGTCTGCTTGGCATTTGGTCTCTCCTTCCCTCTGCCCCTCCCCCACTTATGTGCTCTCTGTCTCTCTTGCTCTCAAAATAAATAAGTAAACTTAAAAAAATTAAAATGAACAAATTATATAATAAAGAATACATATTTCTGAAAAAGCACTAAATTTTCTAAAATGAAAATCATTTAGTGGGAAGAATGGCACTGTTTCACAGTTTTGCAAATCTCTTTAATGTCCAGCTTAACAGAAAAAAGGGTTTCAAATCTGCTTCTGTATTTTATTAAAATATGCTGTTTTGATTGAAGTATGTGAAGAAATTCCAGTGTCACAGATTGCTGGAAAAAGAATTACATTTTAGTAGTCTTTATAGATAAATGTGGATATTCTTTGACATGACACCAATACTTCAATGTACATTTGTAAGATAATAAAAGCAAATAATATCTTCCTCTTATCATAAAAATAGTTTGATCTCAAAGACCTGTCCTGGAAACTAACAGGGCTCTCCAAACTACACTTTGAGGGCCACTGCTGTACGAATAGGATTGCTGGATTATATAGTGTGTGCATGTTTAACTTTATGGTAGATAGTACCAAGAGTACTATCTTAATGTAGTATTAACTTACATTTCTCTAAATACTAATGGACATAGGCACATTTTCATTTTCTATTGGCACTGAATTCTTGTTCTATGAAATATCTGTCCCTATTTTCAGAGACAAATAACAGAATTCAGGAAGATAAAACTGGTTAAGAATCATAACTATAGAATAATTTCATTTTGGATAGGGCTTTTACTACATTTTTGTTTGAATACATGATATATTTTTATTGCAATAAAGCATTATCTAATAATATATTCCATCATTATAGTATCTCTATTATCTTCCCCACTTGATAAACTATAAATTATAAGAAGAGATATATGTAGATAATAAATCAAAATAGAAATCAGTAAGTAGAATGTGAAGAAAGTGGTTAAAATTTCAGCTGGTTTGAACTTCAAAAATTTTAGGATCCAGATCACATAAGCAAAACATATCTCCAATACACCTATTCACCACTGAAAATAACTCATCAGAATTAGAGGGATAAGTAGTGCTGCCTTTGATGTAACATCAGTAAGATGATGTCAGGATCTTATCAAACATAGTAATAATTAAATGACTGACTCATGTCAGAAACAAGACTACTGAAACACTGTCAAGTTATGAACATTAATGCTAAAGAAATCACCTCATTATACTCAGGAAATGCTCAATATGCGTACATATACTGGTTGAGACATACTGTGATAACCTTTAATTTAGAATACAGGTACACTGGTAATGTGATTTGTGTGGAAGGAAAAGAGAATATTAAAAAAAATTCTTATTTGAAACAACCTGAATTGTTAAACTACCGGAAAAGTAATATACAAATAACATTATCAGTAGGAAATTAAGATATAGAAAAAAGTAATGTTGAAGAATAGCTTAATTTTAACATTTCTCCTAATCATCACAAATATAATTTCCTTTCCTTCTACATTTCTATTGACCTATATACTAGGAAGTTATGCAAACTGTTCCAAAGTTTTGCAGAAGTATCTTAGAAATGGTTATGAGGGAAGCAGACACTTGTCCACTCCAATATCTATTTCAAATACAGCATCCCCATTTTATTTTTTCATAGGTCAGTATTCATCATGAGTTTACTTCAAAAAGGCTCTATTGCATTATTTTAAAATAAAAAGCTCACTTTCACTGACTAGGAAGCATTCTGTCTTCTCACAGGTATAATTATATAACAATATACCTGATCCCATTTCAAAAGAAAATTTAGAATGCTTTCTTCCTGGCTTTACATCATTATCCTCCATACTAGTGATGTTATACTAACTTGTCCAGACATCATTTATTCAGCAACTTAATTTTTCTGTAGTAGAGACAGATGAAACAAGGACAAACAACAAAAAACAGAAAAAGCCAAAAGAGATTGTTTTAACTGGTGAGGACCACAGTCCTTCTCCCTTTCCTTGACTCCCTGGAGAGGGTCTTCCAATAATATATCAAGTATAAGGCTGATGACAAAGAATTTCTTCCAAACCTACCCCTCTGTCCTCCTGTTTCCAAGAGCTAACACTGTTCCTGGGAGAACACAGTAATGTATACTGCACACTTCTGGGCAAAAGTAGTTAAGAAGCAGGAGTGCCTATTCTATCTTCTACTCTCCTATCTGCCAGCAGGATACCAATGACCCAGGAGACCTTGGGTCCTTGAATGACTGGGTGGTGCAGTGACACCCCACTTCCCTTAATTGCACTTTATAAGAGTGAGAATAAATTTCTATTGTGTTAAGCCACTGAGATATTGAGATTAATCTATTATAGCAGTTAGCATTACCATAATCAACATAAAATTATTTATTAGCCCTTTTCCTTAATAATTACTTTTACCTATTTAAAGGAACAACAGCTCTTTATCTTTGATTAACAGATTGAATTAATGAGAGTCAATCAACTTCTGGTTAATGATATCACATATCCTAAACATGAACTGTAGGATTATATGTAAATAAAGAAAGGTGGTGGGGAGGTGCCTGCGTGACTCAGCTAGTTAAGTGTCCAACTCTTGGTTTTTGCTCAGGTCATGATCTCATGGTTTGTGGGTTTGAGCCCCATGTCAGATTCTGTGCTGACAGTGCAGAGCCTGCTTGGGATTCCCTCTTTCCTTCTCTGCCCCTTCCCTGCTTTCTCTAAGTAAATTATTTTAAAAAATAATTAAAAAATGAAGACTAAATGACAAGCTCCTAGAATGTTTATGTTTTGAAAAACTGAATTTTTGGGGCGCCTGGGTGGCGCGGTCGGTTGAGCGTCCGACTTCAGCCAGGTCACGATCTCGTGGTCCGGGAGTTCGAGCCCCGCGTCAGGCTCTGGGCTGATGGCTCAGAGCCTGGAGCCTGTTTCCGATTCTGTGTCTCCCTCTCTCTCTGCCCCTCCCCCGTTCATGCTCTGTCTCTCTCTGTCCCAAAAAAAAAAAAAAAAAAAAAAAAAAAAAAAAAAAAAAAAAAAACATTGAAAAACTGAATTTTTATGGGAAATACAATATGACTATAGAATAATAAGAAAAATGATTATGCATACGTAATATATACATGTGTAGATATATATTAACTACATGCATAGGGCATGTTTAAAATACTGAAAATCCACATAATGACTGTGGGATAAATTGGGGTTGTTTCACTTTTCTGTTTGCAAGAGACTTTAAGGGGTTGGAGGATCAATTTTTTTTAGTGGCTATATGCATGACAAGAGAGTAAATTCAACCTCATACTAGTCTGCTTTTCATATCCAATACTGGTTTTTCTATCATATTCAGAGTAGGTTAATGTGCGTGACAATATCCCCTTTAAAAAAAGTCTTTAGATGCAAATTGATAATCAACATGGCTGTACCAAGAAGAATGTAAGGCTGGCAAATAAGCACATGAAAAGATGTTTAACATCATTAGCATTAAGGAAATGTACATTAATTAAAAGCACAATGAGATACCACTACATACCTACAAGGAGGGCTAAAGTAAAAACAAGTGCTGCTAAGGATGCGGAACAAATGGGACTTTCGCGTTGCTGGAAGGAATGCAGAATGGTGCAGACACTCTGGAAAATGGTGTGGCAGTTTCTAATAAAGTCAAACACAAACTGATACCCTAATACCTGCAACTATGCTCTTGGGCATTTACTTTAGAGAAGTGAAAACTTATGTTCATATAAAAAGCTGTACACATATGTTCACTTTAGTTGTGACAGCGAGAAGATGGAAACAACCCAAATGCCTTTCAACAGGTGAATGAATAAAACAAACGGCTACACAATGGAGTAGAATTGAAC